AAGGAAGCCACTTCAGTTTGGACCAGCTCTTCCAAGGTAAAACTGATATCGAAACTGGTCAAATTGGTTCAGTTCGGTTCGATTTTTGAGAGCCAAATTTGATTTCATTTTAGTCAACATGATTGTTTCAGTTCTTTTTGTCTTGGTTCGGCTTGATTCATAGGTTCACCGGTTTAAGTGCCCACCCCTAATTTTGCTGCAGGTGAAGCTTATTAGGTCGAGCATGAACAATGCTTTTCAGACTTTTCCCTAAAAAAATGGGCCTCTTTTATGTAAACCAACCCAACTTATCATCTAAGCTTTGAACTTAAAATGCCTAATTTCTCTCTCTATGCATGGTGAATTTTCTTCCTATATGAAAAAAAATGGCCTCAACTTCCAGTTTTTGATAGGGCCTCCAAAAGTCTAAGACCGGCCCCTGGCTTTGTTTGAGCAATGCCCCTTGAGCAAAAGAAGGAAATTGAAATGGCTGAACACGGTTGAGGCACAATCATCGTCAGCTTCTTGAATGGCATTGCAACAATCTGCCCCAAAGGTCATATGAAAACCATTAATTCAAATTTTAAAGATGAGGTTTCGCGTCTATTCCATGTCGTGAATCGGTGAATGCATGTGATATACGAACCACTAATTATTTCATAATAGTCTTACAAGACTTTCTTTGATTGATCGATATTGAAAAGTCCTTACCACTTTTAATAAATGAAAAAACAAACAAAACAAGGCCTTATCACGTAATGGACTAAGCTGCTCTTTTGTCTCTTCTTTAGACAAGGATTGGAGATAAGACTCCACTTAATGAGAAATTATAGAATATTACAATACTATGGTCACGTGGTACATATTGTACACATATTATAATATGGGTGGACGATATAGTTTATTTTCCCTCCTATTTAGGGAATAATATCAATAAATATTTACTTATATTATAACATGTGTACAAGATATACCATGTGGTCTTACTACCGTAGTATTCTATATCGACGCCCATTGTAGAGACATCTCTTGTTTTGTTATTTATTTACTCATATATACCAACGAAATTTGGGGAGGGGGAATTCAAAAGTAGATATAGGGGTAACTACTCTAAACCAATTACCTCTAGACCTCTGGCTTCTCTTGTAAGATGATGGTAGTGGTGGTGGTGGTATTTTGGTTTTTGTATGAGTCATGACATTAATGAACATATCATTATTATGCATAATAACTTTTTTTGGAGCATGAAGAAGTGAGGTGTGAAATAGATGACTTGTTAAACGCATCCCATTATATGATGTGTATATAGAGTACTAGTATTGTTGAAAAATGACATGACTGCATAGTCACTTAGGCTAGTGACATTCTAAGTCATGGGTGAAATCATTTCTATTGCGATGGTATTCCAAAATGTAAAAAACAATGACATTATAGAAGTCTGCTATTTTCCTGATTTTTGTCAGACTTCGAACTTTCTCACACTGAGTAAGTCTGAGTCTCCAAGGCCAAAATATTAATGGGAGATTCACTATTATATCTAATATAAGAGCCCAAATTATATATAAAAAAACTCTATATAAAATGGATTTTAAAAACACAACCAAAATTCATTTACAACATAACAAAGAGGCTTTTAACTTCTTATCAATTACAAAACTACCATCAATTTCTTAAAACAAGCCCAATCCCAAAATCTCATAAAAAATCCCAAACACACAATAAGGTATCAAAGTAATTTAATAATCAAAATTAAATTTAACAGGGCCAGCTCTCATATTTAGGGTGTTTTTTTTCTTCGGGTTTATTTGTTTATAGAAATTAGATGGTGTAGGGTTTATCTATATCATTAGTGTTAAGAATGGATACATGACTAAATATCTCATAAAATTTAGACAATATTAAAGTGGCATATATTGACAATAAATAACTATGTTTAGTGTGAATACATCAAACTCCGTTATATATCAAGTGAATTTTCAACATGTTCTGTGGCACGCAGGATTTTCTACTTGTATTGTATAGTGAGTTTTAAGAAGAATGGCAAGTGCAGACATGGCATTAGCTTAGTTGGCTAATGTGCTTCTCACTGCACCCGAGTTCGAATCTCCTATTCGTAATTTAGATTAGACTAAAGTAGAATATCGCTTGATTAAATAAATAAATAAAAAGAACAATGTCAACTACATTATTCAAAAAATCGGTTTATAAAAATAAATTTTAAAAATTCCCAAAAGGCTGGAAACCCAAAAGGTTACATGCAGAATGCAACATCCCGGCCTGGCTTATATTTTATAGTACAATTACATGCAGGTGACTTGTAGTTGTTTATCTAACTCTCTCATTGGTGTATTTTAAAAGATAATAGTGTTCATGAATCCAAACACATTTGAAGATTTTTATTTTTTCTTTGCTTTTTCTTTTCCTTTTGGCCCCTCAGTTGAATGTAAGAGATTCCAATCAACCCACTAATAAGCCACTCAAACATTTTCAAGTCTTGAAACAAATCATTGCAACCCAAGACACACAAACAGTCCCAACAACAATAAAAAGCCAAAGCAACTCTTCCACAGTCCCCAGAATTGGCAGGCCCAGCCAGCAACAATGGCAGAGATTGCAGTCTTAGAAATTCATATGACAAGTCTCTCTCAATCCACACCGTTTGAAATTCACAATGATGGAAAATGAGAAGCATGAATGTATTGGTGGATGCCATGAAGAAAAAGCGAGAAACCAAGTACACCAGAAAGATGAAGAGGTAGAGGAAGAAGAAACAGGGCAAAAACAGAGCCAAAAGAAGTTGAAGAAGCACTTAATTTTGCTGTAAAGTGGTTAGAGTTGACTTCTTATTTTCTTTCTTTTCACTGCTTCAGATTGTGACTCTCACGGTCTTCCTCCACTTTCTTCCCTTCATCAATCAATCTTTTCTCTGTTTTTGTGGCTTTCCTCTCGTTTTTTCTCTGTAAAGGTAGGTGAAGCTCTCTCTCTCTCTTCTTTATCTCTGACAGTCTGACTCTGACTCTATTCATTGTTTTGTGGGCTTTTTTTTTCTTTTCTTTTTCTAAGGCTTTAAAGCTCAGTTGGGTTTTTATCCCTTTAGTTAATGCCACGCATTGGGATTTAAGACCCCTCTAATGAGCCAAAAAAAAAACACAAAAAGATTTAAGACCTCTCTGCCTTATTAAGTGCATGTAGCAATCAGTTTTCATGCTTTTCCTGTCAGTCTCTGTGGTTCTGAATTTTTCTCAGGATCAGAATTGATAAATCAGCTTTCTAATTTCTTCATCACATTCATGCTCCAGACAGATGTGCCCTTCTAAAAATTTTCCCAATTTGGTCCCCAATTGAAGGGTTTGTTGGGTTTGAAGAACAATTTCCTTCAAAATAAATTCATGCCATAAAACTTGTTAAGCAACCATGTAGTTTTGTTCATATTTCATCAGGCCTTGCTTCATTTTCTCCTATATGCTTTCTTAATTTGTGTATGTAGAAATGGCTTGGCAGGTTAGTTCTCTCCTCCAAATGCTGTTCCATTTGACACTGATATTCTGTCTCAGTGTTGCCTCCATAAGCTCATTAGAGGAAGAGGCTCTTTTTCTTTTGGTGTTCAAAACATCTCTTTCTGATCCTAGTAACAATCTTGAAAGCTGGAATTCATCATATTTTACTCCTTGCAATTGGACTGGTGTGGGGTGTACCAATCACAAGGTAACTTCTATAAATCTCACTGGTCTTAATTTGTCTGGCACTTTGTCTCCAAGCATTTGCAATCTACCTTACTTAACTGAATTCAATGTGTCCAAGAACTTCTTCTCTGGTCCCTTTCCTATGGATCTTGCAAAATGTCATAATCTAGAGATTCTAGACCTATGCACAAATAGGTTTCATGGAGAATTGTTAACCCCTTTCTGCAAAATGACCACCCTTAGAAAGCTTTACCTCTGTGAGAATTATGTGTATGGTGAAATGCCTGAGGAGATAGGGAATTTAACTTCACTTGAAGAGCTTTTCATTTACAGTAATAATCTTACTGGCACCATTCCCATATCAATTAGTAGGTTGAAAAGGCTCAAGGTCATAAGGGCTGGTCGAAATTCCCTTTCAGGGCCAATACCAACTGGTATTGGTGAGTGTCAGAGCTTAGAGGTTCTTGGGTTGTCACAGAATCAGTTAGAAGGATCCCTTCCTAGGGACCTTCACAAACTTCAAAATCTGACTGATTTGATCCTATGGCAAAACCATTTAAGTGGTTTGATTCCTCCTGAGATTGGTAATATAAGTAGGCTGCAATTGCTTGCCTTGCATGTAAATTCTTTCAGCGGAATGCTTCCGAAAGAACTTGGGAGGTTATCGAAGCTAAAACGATTGTATATCTATACCAACCAGCTGAATGGAAGTATTCCAAGTGAACTACGGAATTGCACCAGTGCTCTTGAGATAGACCTTTCCGAAAATCAGTTAAGCGGATTCATACCCCGGGAGTTAGGCTACATTCCTAATCTCTACTTGATTCACCTTTTTGAGAACCGTCTACAAGGAAATATTCCTAGGGAGCTTGGGCGGTTGAAGCTGCTGCAGAGGTTGGATTTGTCTATAAATAATTTGACAGGCACAATCCCACTAGAATTTCAGAATCTTACTTGCATGGTTGATTTGCAACTATTTGATAATCATCTTGAGGGTAGAATTCCTCCTAGCCTAGGAGTTAACAGCAACCTCACTATTCTTGACATGTCTGAAAATAATCTTGTTGGTCGCATACCTCCGCATCTTTGCAAGTATCAGACGTTGGTATTTCTAAGCCTAGGGTCAAATAGGTTGTCTGGAAATATTCCTTATGGGATTAAGACATGCAAGTCTCTAATGCAGCTAATGCTAGGAGACAACATGCTTACAGGAAGCCTCCCCATGGAGTTATATAATCTTTCTGCTCTTGAACTCTTTGAAAACCGATTCTCAGGACCAATACCTCCAGAGGTTTGCAGGCTTATAAATTTAGAAAGGCTACTCTTGTCTGATAACTACTTTTTTGGGTATCTTCCTCCTGAAATTGGGAATCTATCGCAGCTCGTGACCTTCAACGTTTCCTCTAACATGCTTTCAGGGAGCATTCCTCAGGAGTTGGGGAATTGTATGAAACTACAAAGACTTGATCTTAGTAGGAACTACTTCACTGGCAATCTCCCAGAAGAACTCGGAAAGCTAGTGAAGTTGGAACTTTTGAAGCTTTCGGATAACAATTTGATGGGAGTAATACCAGGTACTTTAGGGGGCCTGGCTAGACTGACTGACTTGCAAATGGGGGGAAATCATTTCTCTGGTAGCATCCCATTTGAGCTGGGTCAACTCACTGCTCTACAGATTGCCCTCAACATTAGCCACAATGATCTTTCAGGCGCAATTCCTGAAAATTTGGGGAACTTGCAGATGCTGGAATCTCTATACTTGAATGACAATCAGCTTGTTGGTGAAATTCCTGCCTCAATTGGTGAGTTGCTTAGCCTTCTGGTGTGCAACCTTTCTAACAATAACCTAGTGGGAACTGTGCCAAACACCACCGCATTTGGAAGGATGGATTCTACAAATTTTGCTGGAAACTATGGCTTGTGCAGATCAGGTTCAAACAATTGTCACCCATCTACAGTTCCATCTACTACTCCGAAGCGAAGCTGGTTTAAGGAGGGTTCATCTAAAGAGAAACTAGTGAGCATCATTTCTGTTATAATTGGATTAATTTCCTTGTTTTCTATAGTGGGTTTCTGTTGGGCAATGAAGCGCCGTGGACCTACTTTTGTTTCACTTGAAGATTCCACAAAGCCAGAAGTGTTAGACAACTATTACTTTCCTAAGGAAGGTTTCAAATACCAGGACCTTGTTGAAGCTACTAGCAGTTTTTCAGACAGTACAATTATAGGAAAGGGAGCATGTGGCACTGTGTACAAAGCTGTTATGGCTGATGGTGAGGTGATTGCAGTCAAAAAGCTCAAGGCACAAGGAGACGGAGTAAGCGTCGATAGCAGCTTCCGTGCTGAGATACTGACCCTTGGAAAGATCAGGCATTGTAATATTGTCAAGCTCTATGGATTCTGCTACCACCAAGACTCAAATCTTCTCTTGTATGAGTACATGGAAAATGGCAGCCTAGGAGAACATCTCCATGGAAATGAACAAAGATGTTTTCTTGACTGGAATGCTCGGTATAAGATTGCTCTTGGAGCAGCAGAGGGTTTGTGCTATCTCCATTATGATTGTAAGCCCCAAATCATCCACCGTGACATAAAGTCAAATAACATTTTATTGGATGAAGTTCTTGAAGCACATGTAGGAGACTTTGGCTTGGCTAAATTGATTGAACTCCCATACTCAAAATCCATGTCTGCTGTTGCAGGCTCATACGGCTACATTGCCCCAGGTAAGAAAAAGAGCTACTTCTATTCTTTGTCTTACTCATACTGAATACCTTGAAGCAATAATTAGTTTGTTACTTAACACACCTCTCCTATAACGTGCATATCCTATTTTATATCAGAAACAAGCCTATGTAAGAATTGACTTAACACACTCTTTTATGTTAAGAATCTGATTGAAGAAACTGCAAACTGCTAATGTTGTCCTATTCGAGTCATTCCAATATATGTGATATCTATCAAGGATTAAGTTTTGATTCTGAGCATAACTCAAATTTGTCCAACAAATCATGGGAGATGAGATTATCATCTCAAACCTAATCACCATTTCTTCCTGCAGATTTAAGAAATGTTTAAAGTGAAGAAAGACTGGCTGTTCATTTCCGAGTCATTGTTGCATTATTGTACTAGGCATCAATAGCTCATTTAATAGCTTGATTTGGTCTTTTTACCAGTACTTGCATCTGCTATCTTCCAGTCCTGCTACTATCCTAAGTTTTCAGTCTAATTTATCCCGGTTTCACCCTCCCTTTTTTATGATTATATCAGATGTTTAACAGATCCTGTGAGAACTTTTAATACTGAATCAAGAAGAAGAAAGGAAAAGAAATCTTCTTCCTACTTTTAAGTTCTAACCGTATGTTTTCCTTGGAATTCATTTCAGAGTATGCTTACACAATGAAAGTGACTGAGAAATGTGACATCTATAGTTTTGGGGTGGTTCTGCTGGAACTAGTCACCGGAAAGTCACCTGTTCAACCACTGGAGCAGGGCGGAGACCTAGTCACGTGGGTGAGAAGGGCAGTAAATAACGCCATGGCAACATCTGAAATATTTGACAAGAGGCTTGATCTGAGTGTGAAAAGGACAACTGAAGAGATGACTCTATTTCTCAAGATTGCTTTGTTCTGCACCAGTACATCCCCAGTTAATAGGCCAACAATGAGGGAGGTGATTGCAATGATGATTGATGCAAGGGAGTCTCTGAGCAATTGCTCATCATCACCAACATCTGAGACTCCTTTAGATGAAGGTCCTTCAAAAGGTTAGAAGACAAGTCTTTTTTTTCGTCCGCTTTATTTTGATTAAAAGTTGTGAAATGCACTGGGAAATTGAAATAAATCCTAAGTTTTCCATCAAAGGGCAACTTGTATTTATGTCCTATTTTGGATATTCCTTGTTAGTCCTGATTATTCAGAGAGCTGACATTGGCTTGCACGACTGTGAACCTTGCAGGTTGTATGGAGTTATAACCCAGAAGCGCACTTCATCTGCCAGAAACTTTGTGTGTTCTGCCATACTACTACATATTGAATGAGAAATCTGCCCTCTCACTTGGATTGCTCAAGAAAATAAAAGATTTCTATCAATGATCTGCATTTTACTGACCATCTGCTCTGCCTCAATTGTATTAAGAGTGGTTTTAGAAGCATATTATTTTCTCTGTAAAGAAAGCTCACCACTCTGACCCAATCCCAAAATTTATCAAGCATGATCTCTATAGCTTCTCTTCCATCCATGTCTTGCATCATTGTTTCTTGGAAAACTTCCTGTCAGCAGCCAGTTCTGAGCAAAAGTAACTGGATTTTGATTAATTGGTTTGAACCATTTACACTAACCTGCTAGCACTGCTAGCAGGATGCAATAATTTTACATGTTATGTCAAACTGTGAGATCAGTACCAATTGGTTAAATAATGGAATTAAGCACAAGTAGAGGATCCTATGAACCTGAGGTGGTCCTGTGAGGAAATTTATCAAATTTGCAGATTCTCAGTTGGAGCAGTCTAGAGGTCTACCTGGTCCCCAAAACCAAATTCCTGACAACCAACAACTTAAAGACTCTTGCAAGTTGCAGCTTGTTTTTTCCTTTCCCCATTCAAATGTAGTTGAGTGGTTGGAACTTGGAAAAGCAAAGGGATTTAAATGATGAAGGAAAAACAAGAATGTTAGCAATAAAATGAGAGCAGGCTATTAGTTACTGAAGCAACACAATTTATTAAATGATCTTTGGGTAAGTAATGTTGGAACAGTTCCTTAGTTTGAATCATTCATCTCTATTGATCAAAAGTAAAAATTTTGAGGAAGCAACAAATTATAATATATAACTATTTCCTAATGACACTCATATGAAAGACAAAATTAAAAACTTCAAACATCTAAAATTGAAAATGAATCATCATTGTACGACTCCGATTCATATACATCAACAATTCACAAGTGCCTCACAAAATTTACATCTCCACCGAGACTCCTTATAACCTATTTATACAAGTATCTTTCATCTTAAACCCACAACAACAAAAAAGGGTTTTATTTAAATTTTACTACTTTTCCTCACCATTTTACTACTCACATAATATTTGTAGTAATTGCTATTACTGTGGTTATTATACTTGTTACTTCTAGTCTTCACAAAATGACAAAGTCCTTTCCACCAGCACTTTTTCCTCTTATGCAAAGCCGCAGCCACTGGGCTTCCATGGGCCTTACTGGGCCTTCTTCTAAGCCCATTAACCTCCGGCGGCCTGTAAGTCCGGATCAATGCCCAATTAATCCCACCGAAAAAGGGGTGTTGTTTAATCTCAGTGGCCCCCTTAGCGCATCCTAGCCTCTTCCGTGGGTCCCTCACCAACAGCCTCTCAATCAAATCCCTCGCCTCCTTCATTCCCTCCTCTTCTCCCTCCACCACGTGGAACCTCACCCCGCTGCTCGCCGCTATATTGCGCAGCGTGCTCTCTTTACTCCCGCCTTTAAACGGCGTCGTCCCGTGGAGGAGCTCGTAGATAAACACCCCGAAAGCCCACCAATCAACGCCGTTGCCGTGGCCGTTACCGGAGATCAACTCGGGTGCCAGGTACTCGTGGGTCCCAACACAAGATTTCGAATAAGCAGTCGTGGGCTCCGCCACGAACTCCGCCACCATTTCCTCTTCATACTCCCTCCTCGAACCAAAACACGAGTGAGTATTTTTTCTTCTCGTCGGCCCCGTCTTTTCAACACGACGGTGTTCGACGGCGGGGCTTACATCTGCTTTAAAGCATAGATCAAAGTCTGATAACATAACATGCCCGTCCCCGCGCAAGAGTATGTTTTCGGGTTTCAGGTCCCGATAGACGACTCCCAACGCGTGGAGGTACTCGAGGGCGACGAGGACCTCGGCGGCGAAGAAGCGGACAGCAGGGAGGGGGAGGCGGTTGAGGGGCTGGCGAAGGAGGAGGTTGTGGAGGTCGCCGTTGGGGCAGTAGTCGATGAGGAGGCAGGTGTAGTGGGAAACGTCGATGCGGGCGTAGAGTGTGGGGAGGAAAGGGTGGTCGAGCATGGAGAGGATCTCGGCCTCGGTGCTGACGTGGCCGAGCTTCTTGGGGCTGAGGGAGTCCTTGTCGACGACCTTGAGGGCGAAGGTGGCGGCGTCGGGGTTATCGCGGTGGTCGTCGCGGAGGCGGCAGAGGAAGACACGGCCGAGGTTGCCGGTGCCGAGGTGGCGGAGGAGCTTGAGGTGGCTGAGGTGGAGGGTGCGGTCGGAGGAGAGGGCGGTGGCGGCTTTGATGGCGGACCAGTGGGGGTCCCACTTGCGGTGGTTGAGGGGGGTAGTTGTGAGGGTTGGCGTGGCGGTGGAGGAGGTGGTGGAGAGGCGGGACTCGTTGAAGCTGAGGGTTAGGCTGCTGCGGGCTAAGCTGGAGCGGGCGCTGGAGCAGGAAGTGGTGAAGGTGCGGTCGGTGACGGTGGTGGAGGAGGAGGTGATACTGGTGAAGCTTAGGTCGAGATCTGCGTAGTCGGAAATCGGGAAAGGGGTGGTTTCTTCGTCCATGGCTGTTGAATGGAGAAATGTTGGTGGTGCATGCGCTTTGATGAGGTGAAGAGTTTGATAATTATATGGGAAATGCAAGTTGGTATTTGAAGGGCTCTTATAAAAGAATGAGGAGAGAGAGAGATAGGGATGGTACGTAGGGCCTGTGGGGGGATTAATTAAGGGGTTCGGTTGACCCAACTGAACATTTGCATCTACTCTGTGCACTGCAGTGGTGGGAAACTGGAAGAGAGAGAAATTGATATGGTAAACAAAAGAAAATTAACAAGTGTACTGGTTGACTAAACTCATCAGCATTTGCATGTTAATGAAAGAGAAAAAAAGAATACAAAGGAAAAAAGGAAAATCAGGGCCACCCATGGGGACTTGGATTTACATTCCATATCAACATCAACTTAAAAAGGAAAAAAGTTTAATAGGGAAGGGAATTGGAATTTATTCAAGAAGAAAAAGAAGGAAATCTAGTTCGTTATCAGCTCTATATGCTACGAAGAAAGCTCGTTATTAATAGTATTGAACTTTTATGTGCTTAAAAAAAAAGCTTTATCAGCTCTCGATGCATCTGATAATAGGTGGGAAAATTATCAATCAATTCCTACACGTAATGTAATCGTAGTTGAACAAAAGCCCATGCAATAGAGCGCGTGAATGGAAAAAAACTTACATATAACGGGAATAGCACTATTTTGCTATTTCCAATTAATAACGTAATAACATATGAAAAAATTATTCTACATGTCACTACATTATTAGCCGAAAATAACAAAAAATGTTATTTCCGTTGCATGATAGTTTCTCGTGTGAATGACTAGGATGGTGGGTTGAAGAATTGAAGGCACCCGCTGACAAAGAGTTATACCGAAGGGAGTGAAAAGAGAGATTAAAAAAGAAAATTTTGAATTAAAAAGTAGAGAGAGAGTCTGAGACAAACGGCTAGTGCTATATATAGCCTTATAGGGATCTAATTTATAAATCTAATCAAGTCGGCTCTGTGTGAATAATAGGTACGTAAGCACGTTAAATTAGTCATGACTTTGGTCCTACGCGTCCTTCCTTCTTTCCATTTTCATGGCGATCAATGAATTTTTTTTCTGGTTATTAATTCGTGTTTGTCAAGGGTAGGTATGTTTCCACCAATGGTTTTATTACAACACCAAATGCAGTACTTTTGAAAGCTGGATTCTGAATTTAGAATTACGTTCAAAGTTACCACCACACGTCCCTTTGGCCTTGGGATTCTACAACTTTAGATTTTGGGTGGTGAAATGGATAAGAACTAGCTTAGCTTAGCTAAAGCATGCTTAGTCAACAAGCTTAAGGTATTGGAGGGCATGGGCGTCTTACATGGGTCCATCAAGGAAGGATGCATGCATGCATATCTCAAGAGAGGGAATATAATCAGGCCAGAAAGTCAAAGTCTAAGGAGATTTCTCTTGAAGTTTCTAATGATATCAGTCTCTTACAAAATTTTTGTGTATTAGAAAGATTGCAAATATCTTAGTGAAGGTCTAGTGTATAAAAGGAGTATATCATACTTTTGATTAGTAATACACTTATATAGCGTCCTTACGAGTAGAAAATGATCTTGATTTGCATATAACTTATTTCAAGTTCGAACTCCTATGACACCTTGACAGTGTGTGAGAAACCCTCTCTCCCCCAATATTGTTGTATAAAAAAACATCCTATATAATTGTTAATAGCTTTTGAATATTTCTAAATGTTGTTAGGGAAGCTATTTTCATTTTTTTTTTTATGTGTGATTAATCTTTGGGATCTCTTATTACAAAGTACCATCAGTAATTTGAAATTCATGCATTTCTTTTTCTTTTCCTTTTCTACTATAATGGAAGAAATCAAAATCTTTAACCTAATCTAATCCTTACTCATTTTCTCCTTGCTCTCGCCACTAATAGGATTTCTACTCCTACATTTCATGGCTTTGGTAAGAAATTTGATAGAGTACATGTTTTTTTGGAATTGGAATCTCTTACAATTGGCCAACTTAAGCTGAATGTGGATGTTTCTAGAAGGGCTGCCACTAATATTATTGGAGCAGGAGGTGTTATTCGAGACTCTTCAGGTGACTGGATTGTTAATTTTGCTGTGAATTTGGGCCAATGTCATATCCTGGAGGCTAAGGTTTGGGGCCTATATTTTGGTCTAAAGCTTGGTGTTGAGAAAGGTATCATTAACCTTGCTATTGAAATGGATGTTGTTGTTGCTGTCTCACTTGTTCAACAAATCAATTCATTGCAATGCCATCCTCTTGCTGCTTTGGTGCATAGTTGTTGTGATCTCATGAGACAAATTGGAAATTGTCACCTTGTCCACATTTACAGGGAAAAGAATTGTGTTACAGATTGTTTGGCAAACGGGAGTTATAATCTGGACCTGAGAATTTCCTTATTTTATGAGGCTCCTGTCTGGGTTAGCTCTGGTCTTGCTAGGCCTCGACTCATGCGCAGTGTTTAGTTGTTGTCTTCTGGGGGTTCCCTCTATTTCACAAAAAAGAAAGAAAAAAAAGAGTTGAGTTGATGTGAAAATTTCAGAATGAAGATTAAATTTAACGTGTGGGCTGCAGCCGACTTTGGCCTTCATGAGTAAAACCGTAAAATAACAAGAATGTAACTGGAATCTTCTAATCTATGCTAATCTAAGATTAATTAATTGATCACTGCTGATTATTTAATATCTTTATATAGGGCA